AACATTAAAAAAGAAGTAAGAGTCAAAGAGTTCTTTGAAAGAATAAATAAAATTGATAAGGTTCTAGCCAACCTTATTTTAAAAAATGAAAGAAAAAACTCAAATTTAGGCAATAAGGAATGAAAAAGGCAAAATCACTACAAAATGTGGTGAAACCCTGTGGAAATACAGAAGATCATCAGAACCTACTTTGAAAACCTTTATTATCACAGGTTTGATAGCACAGAAGAAATAGATTTCTAGAAACATATGAATTACCAAAGCTGGATCAAGATGTAAAATTGCTGAAAAACCCAGTTTTAATTAATGAAATTGAAAATGTATTTAGAACCTTATGAACAAATAAAAGCAAAGGTTTTGATGTATTCAATTCTAAATTCTACAAGAAGTTCAAGGAAGGCTTAATTCCAACACTCCTCAAACTCTTCAATCAAATTAAATCCGAAGCAATTTTCCCTAACTTATTCCTGGAAGCGAGTATTACCCTAATGCCTAAGCCAGAGAAAGATTGAACCAAAAAAGAGAACTACAGGTCAATCTCTCTAATGAACATAGATGATAAAATTCTCAATAAAATACTGGGAAACACAATGCAGCAAACTGTCAAGAAGATTATACACCATGACTAAGTGGGATTCATTCCAGGAATGCAGGGATGGTTCAACATATACAAATCAATAAATGTAGTTCACTATATCAATAGAGGCAAAGATAAGAACCATATGATCATCTCAATAGATGCAGAAAAAACTTTTGATAAGGTCCAACATTCATTATGATAAGAACTCTAGAAAAAAATCAAAATAGAAGGTCTTTACTTCAATTTGATAAAAGCCATCTATGACAAACCAATACCTATCATTGTATTAAAATGGTCAAAAACTGAAAGCTTTTACTCTAAAATCAAGAATAAGAAAAGCATGTCCAATGTCACCACTCCTATTCAATATAGTGCTGGAAATATTAGCCAGAGCAAATAGAGAAATAAAAGGAATAAGGGTAGGAAAAGAAGACATTAAAGCATCTTTATTTGCAAATGACATGATACTCTACATAGAACACCCCAAAAACTCCATTGGAAGACATCTAAACATAATAACTAAATTCAGTACTGTAGTTGTATACAAAGTCAATAGTCAACGAATGGAGCAGAAAACAAAATGAAGACAAACTGATAACTAATGACAGAAAAAGAGCTCAACAGAAATGAGGCAGAGAAGATTGGATGATAGGAACAGCTATTTTGGAGAAAACGACGTCATAATAGGTAATGCTGATTTAATATCATCTTGTTTTGAAGTCCCATCAAGCTTTTGTTCTTCTGTCTCCGTAAGTCTTAACATGTGGTATCTTATTGGATTTTATTATATGTGATAGTATAAACAAAAACTTTTATAGACAAGGAGATTATACAGAAACCATTGTTCATTTTCTGTTAGTTGATTCTAAATACCCTGTAATACTGTCATTCTCTTGAATGGTTTTACATTGTTTTGATATATTTGATGCTACAGTATATGAAGTTATACTCAAAGATTTCAAGGAAAGAGACAATATGGTAACTACTTTTATGTCGGGATTATCTTGTGGTGAAACACTATCTTGCTTAAATGGTTATGTTTTAATCTGTGCTGTTTTGTTGTTATGCCCTCTTTTATCTCAATCTCCATTTTATTATTTACTTTTTTATTTTTATCCTCTTAATTAAGGGAAAAATAAATTAAAAAATAGCAGAATATATTATAGTAACCCATTTTGATTTTCTATTAACTTGATTTGAAGCCCTGTATTGCTCTCACCATCTTGTTTTGACTGATTTTCCTTTATTCTATTTTGCTTGATAGTACCAGGTTCGAAAGTTTAGGCAACAGCTGTGAAGATAGTGGGATTCATTATGACGCCCATTCTGGTTGACTATTATCTACTTTTGAAGACCTGTAATGTCTCCAATGTTTTGGTTTTGTTCTTTACTGTTTTGTTCAATTTTATTATAACTGATATAGGCAATTCTATTTGAGATAGCGGGAGGCATTATGGTAATCATTGTTGATCACCTTGTATTATGTTTTTACATTATCTATTATGTCCACCCTTTTGATTTGACCAACTCTGTTCTGTTATGTTACATTTGGTTTTACTCTCTTCCAAAAAAAGTAGTAAGAACTGTGGGAGTAATAAAACCCAAAATGTGTAATAGTCATTGTACAAAAGAGAGGAAAAGAAAGTGCTCTAAACGATATAACTGCATGTATATTTAAGTGTATAAGACAGACAATGATATTACTGAGTTTTGTTGGATCATGAACAGAACTGTTTGCAGTCTCACTGTTTGAATGTCCACTTTATATGCTTTAATTTTTTAACTTGAACAAATCATTCTAAGATGATAATATGTAATCCTTAACTAGTGATTTCGTTTATTTTTTTTCTGAAATTCTGTATAAATTGTACCCTTTTTCTGTTTTTTTTCTTTTTCTTCTTAAATAAAATTTTAAAAAAAGAAAAAAAAAACAAAGTCAACAGTCAAAAACCAGTAGCATTCCTATAAACAAACAACGAACTCACTGGGACAGAAATGAGAAGTCATACCCTTCACAATACCATCCAAAAAAATGAAATACTTAGAAATCAGTCTAACAAAAGAAGTAAAAGATCTATTCGTGAAAATTACAAACTTGTGAAAAAATAAATAGAAGTGGATCAAGAAACTGAAAGACATTCCTTGTTCATAGATAGGAAGAACAAACATTGTGAAAATGGCCATTCTCCCAAAATTATTATACAGAATTAATGCAATTCCAAGCAAAATACCATTAGCATGCCTAACAGATCTAGAGAAATCATTCTTAAAATTCATCTGGAACCAGAAGAGACCTAGACTAGCAAAGGCAATTCTGCGTAACAAAGGCAAGGCAGGAGGCATCATAATCCCTGACTTAAAAGTTGTTCTATAAAGCTACTGTGATAAAATCAGCATGATACTGGAATAAAAACAGACCTGAAGATCAAGGAGTAGATTAGAAGATATGACCACAATTATAAACACACTCAACCACCTTATCTTTGATAAAGGGGCCAAACACATTCACTGGAAGAACGACAGTCTCTTTAAGACATATGGGTAGGCAGAAAATTCATGAACAAAAATCAAACTGTACAGGAAATAGCTGGGATCTCGTCTTATTAAAAAGTTCTGCATGTGAAATGAAATCTCTAACAGAGTAAAAAAAAAAACCCACAAATTGGAAAAGAATGTTAGTCAACTGTCCCTCAGACAAGGACTTCCGTCTAGAACTTTAAGACTTTTAAAAAAATCAGACCTCCAAAATTCAAAGACCCAATCCAAAAATGGGCATCTGAGATGAATACACATCTCTCACATGAAGAAATATAAATGGCAAATAAATACCTGATAAAATGTTCAGTATCATTGGTTATTAGAGAAATGCAAATTAAAACAATACTGAGATTCTATCTCACTCTAGAAAGAGTAGTCAGGATCAAGAAAACCACCAAAAACAAATGCTAAAAAAAGGAATTCTTCTGTACTGGTGGAGTATAGACTGGTGTAACCACTGTGGAAATCAGTCTGGAGGTTTGTCAAAAACCTGGGATTAGAAGTCCCATTTGACCCAGCTATTCCACTTCTGGGCAAATTCCCAGAAGTATTGAAAACATCATAACACAGGGATATATATGCACTTATGTTTATAGCAGCACAATTTGTAATAGCCAAATCTTGGAAACAACCCAAATGCCCATCAGCTGAGGAATGGTCAAAAAGATGTGGTATTGTTATAAAATGGCATACTATTCAGCTATAAGGAATGATTACACTGAGGCTTTTATAGGTAAATGGATGCGACTTGAGACCATACTCTTAAGTGAAATAAATCAAACTCACATGTGCAAATACCATATTGTCTCCCTAGTGTAAGAAACTGAAAGAGTAAATCAGATACAAAATCTTCAATAAATACTGTGAAAAGGTAAGAATCTACTCAAAGGGGATAAAATAACTCAGGGAAAAGAAAAAAAAGGAAAGGAAAAATAAAAAGATCTGAATTTGTATATACACACTTAAGATAGCTATGGTGATTGTGCTACTAATTCTATTAGTTCTTAAAACAAAACAGCTAACATTCATAGGACTGGATCAATTTTGCATGTTTATACCTGGTAATCTGAGGAACTCTTTTGAAGATTGATACGCAAAATATCAACCTTAGTTATGTTCCTACCACCTTGTTTTGAAAGCCTATATTGTCATTATTTTGGGCTCTTTATTATTGTTACTTGTCTCTTTTGTTTCTTGGTTTTCTAGTAATTTGTTTTGTTTTGTTTTTGCCTCTAACACAGAAAGGATAGATGTACATGTAGAGGCTTATACATGCCTAGACCTTCTAAAGAGTTTATGAGAATTGATTGTATTATGCGTGATGAAATAAACAGCTACTTTTAATAAAAAGAGACATTATGGTAAGCCATTGCTAATTTCCTATCATCATGCTGTGAAATCCAGTAATGCTTTTATTCTTTGTTTAGATTGGTTTTAGTCTGTTTTAATTTCAATATATATGAAGGTATGGACAGCTATTTTGAGGAGCATAAGAGACATTATGGTAGCAATTATTGATTTTCCTATTGTCTGGCTTTAAAGGTCTGTAATGCTTTCTGTTTTGATCAGTTTTATACTACTTTGTTTTGAATTCATTGTGTGCGAAGATAACGGACAACTATTTTGAAGAAAACAAGAGACATTATGGTAGCCACTGTTGATTTGTTGTCTTGCCTTTTTTTTTTTTTTTGGTGCCGGGGATCAAACTTCTAACCTCGCATTTGCTAAGCAGGCACATATGCCACTGAGCTAAATCCTGCCCCTGTCTTGCTTTAAAATTCTGTGTCATTTCCATTGCTTTGTTCTGATCTGCTTTATACTGTTTGTTATGTTTTATTTTACCCTCTTTAAAATTAAAAATGAAAAAGAAATGCATTCTGACCTTCTCTCTCTGCAGTGAGCCTCTGCCTAAGAAGATGGTTCACAATGGCAGTCATGCTGATAAAGCACTGCTGGCCCAAAGTGTCCCAGTTCATGGTGCTCAGAATGTTTATTGCCTCACAGATCTCACCATGGTGAATATACTGGAAGATGATGTCTGCTGGGCCCAGCTGTCCTTGAGTGAGGATACCTGTCAAAGAACATAAAACCAAGTGAATATTTTAAAGTACAATATAGAATACAAATACAGAGTTGACTATTCCATATAGAAAAAAAAACCCAATAATTGCTTTGTATACAAGGATAGAACTGTGGAACTGATCCCATTCACAACCAGTGTTTCTGTAACATACCTCAGTATGACAGGGGCACATTTTCTCCTTTAAAAAAAAAAAAAAAAGAAAATCTTAAAGAATGAAGAGTATTTTAAAAAATTCAGGAGAAGGTATTCTGTTCTAGGTTTATTTTATTGTCCTTTAAAAGGTTTCTCTTTTGAAATTAAGAATTTCTTTGTACTAAATGACAATAAGCATTAAAGACCGTAAACAGATTTCTTTTTTATTTTTTTCACCATTTAAAAATGGTTAGCTGTAAAATTCCTTTTTCCTCAGTCATTAATTTGAACTGGTATGAGCAAGTCTATAAAACAGCCCAGTCATGAAGTTAAATAAGAAAACGTGAATTACTCTGTAACCTATAAAGTATTATAAAATAGTTCTTCAAATCCTTTTATTACTTTCATCATCATTTAACTGGGATATTTATAGCCTTTCAATCTAAAAAATACAGTTCATGAGAAAAACGATGCAATTCTTCATAGTAACTTTAAGTCACAAAATAAAAATTTGTGCTACATCTAACAGGACTCAACTTGATAGGTAATTTGAAGAACTGCCCTAACCATCCAAAGCAATAAAACTTTACTATTTTCTTTGTGTTGGTAGAATCAACAAATGTAACTATACAAAAGCTTTCATGAGTCTCGAGCCAATCTCTGGAGATCTTCTAAGTCAGAGTGGTCCCTCAACACAGATATTAATACCTGGGTAGAGATAGTCTCTCTTATCACCTTAATACTGAATTCAATGTCCTGGGTCATTGATGGCAAATCTTTTAGAGGCAAGTACCCAAAGTCCACACTTAATTATTGCAAAGTGACAAACTCTGAATTCTGTTTTAGGTTAGAAAAAAACAACTCACACATTAATATCCATCTTAAAAGAAAAACAACACACATGCCATAGGTTCGCCACCACTGTTCTAAGTAATGAAACAAAGGAAGAAATTAAATAAAAGAATTAAAATGAGGTAGAAAGATGTAAAACAGTTTTTTGGGGTTTTTTTGTTTTTTTTTTTTTTTGTACTGGCAATTGAACTCAGAACCTCACACTTGCTAGGCAGGCCCTACGCCACTGAGCTATATCCCTGGCCTCATAAAACTGTTTTTAATCTAGCTGTCACATTTTATAAATTTTTTTCATAATCAAATAACGAGAATAACAATACTTTATTATGCATCATTATCTTCACAGTAGTTACTCAATATAAGACACAAAACAAAAATTCTTACAAAAACTCCCACAAAGTTTCAATGAACTAAAATAAACTATTAGTATAAATGACACAAATTAGAATATTGAAATATTTTTAAAATGGAATATGTAATTTGGGAAGGATCTGAACTGAATTTCTATTTCCTATTTATCTCTATTTTGCTGCCTTACATATACATACTAGGAAAGAGAGAGGGAGAAAGACAAAGCAGAGAGGGAGATTGATTCATATGTAAGGGAAACCATGTGATAGTTCAGCTAGTGTGTCTGACTTGTTTCATTTAACATTATATTCTCAAGATGCCTCTATTTTGGAAAGCCTTGAGTTTATGTTTCTTTATGGCAGTATACTACTCTGTTGTGTTTAAATACAGTTTCCTCACTCCTGGTTTGGTTAATAGATACATATGCTGTTTCTAAGATCCAGGTATTATAAATTGTGCTGCCATAAATATAGTTATGCATGTATCCTTGCAATACGATTTTAAACCTTTGTGAAGATACTTAAGAGGGGGATATTTGAGTCAAATGAAATTTCTGATTTTAGTTTTCAGAGGAATCTCCACACTGTCTTCCTTACTGCTTGTACTAGTTCACATTTCCACCAACAATATAGAATTTTCTTCTGAAATTCTCATCAGCATTTGTTATATTTTTGATACTATTCATTCTTTTGGGGGGAAGACGATAACTCAGTGTAGTTTTAATTTGCATTTCTCTGACAGTTGGCAACAATAAGTATATTTTCATATATTTAGCCGTTTCTTTGAGAAGCCGTTTCTTTTGACAAATGTGTATCCACTTCAATTGCCTGTTTTAGATTAGATCTTTGATTTTGAGGAGTCTAATTTGTTTTGTATTCTTTCTATACTGTAGATCTTAGTCTTCTTCCCAAGGAATAAGTAGAAGAAAATATTTCTTCTTTACACTACATTCACTGGGGTGTTTGCTTCTTTTGCTCTGCAGCAGCTTTTTAATTTGATCTCACTCACTGATTCTCAGTATTGTGTGTCAGTGGGGTTCTGTTCAGAAAATCCTTGCCTACATCAAGGGTTCTACCTTTTATTTTCTACCAGATTGTTTCTATATTTACAAATCAGATTTTTGGTCCATTTTGATTTTAATTTAGTACATGTGAGATACACGGGTCTAGACTCACTCTTTTACATGTGGAGAGCCAATCTTCCCACCACTAGTTATTTAAAAAAATATCTTTCCTACAGTGCATGTTTTTGGCTCATTTGGCAAAAAACCAAATACACTTATATATGCTTTGGGATATTTTTGTTTCTTCTATTTCATCCCATTGATCTACATGTAGTACCATGCTGTTTAAATCACTTAGCCTTGTAACACAACTTTTTAAAAATCTTTTTGAGACAGGGTGTCACTGTGCAGTTTAGGCTGGTCTTGATCTCACTTTATAGCTCAGGCTGATCTCAAACTTGCAATGATCCTTCTGCCTCAGCCTCCCAAATGCAGGGATTACAGGCCAGCTGTAATATAACTTCAAGTCTGGGACTGTGATACTGCTTGCTTTACATTTGTTATTAAGGACTGCATTTGCTATTCTAGATCTATTCAGATTTCATTAAAATTTTAGGGCTCTTTTCTCTAGCTCTTTCAGAAATGACATTGGTATTTTGATTGGGATTGCATTAAAGCTGAACAGTGTATCTGTTTTGGAAGTACAGATGTTTTGATGATGTTGGCTATGCCTACGCAGGAACATATTTTTCCATTTTGTGATGTTCTCAATTTCCCTTTAATTCAGATGTAATTTTAATTTTAGACGTCTTTCTCTTCCTTAGTTCGTAATCACTTAATTTTTTATGCTATTATGAATAGTATTGTTTTCCTAATTGCTTTTTCAGTGATTTCTTTAGGAATGTTTTCTCCCCTATATGATCTTACTAACCCACTGAATTTGGTTATCAATTCTGGGGGTCTTCTGGTAGAGTTTTTGTGTGTAAGAAAAGACTCATGTCTGCAGACAATGATAATTTGACTTCATTCTTTATGATACATAACTCCTATTTCTCTTAACGGATTGTTCTGGCTAATGTTTCAAGGACTATATTGAACAGCACTGGTGAAAATGAATATCCTTGTTTAATTTCTGAAAGAGAAGGCTTTCACCTCTTCCCCATTTAATACAATGTTGGGAGCTGGTGGGTCAAAAGAGGTTTCTGTTATGTTGAGATAAAGATCCTCTATGCCTACTTCTTCAGGGTTTGTATCATAAATAAATGCAGAGGCCAAAGATTTAGCTCAGTGCTCATTTGCATGCCTGGTAAGCACAAGGTCCTGAGTTTGGTCCCCAAACTAATTAATTAATCAATCAAACAAATATGTTATAAGTAAATGCTGAGTTGATCAAAGGCTTTTTCTGAATCTATTGAGATGGTTGAGTTCGGTCCTTGATTCTGTATGTGATGAATTACATTATGGATTGTGTGTGTTGAACCATGCTTGGATGCCTGAGATGAAGCCTTCGTGGTCATGGTATATGATCTTCCTCATGATTTGTCCCTTTCTGTTTGCTAATATCATGTTAAGGGTTCTTTTTTCGGGGAGGCGGGCAGCTAACAGGAACTGAACTCAGGACCTCACGCTCGCCAGGCAGGCACTGTACTGCTAGGCTATATCCTTTGTTCTTGTTAAGGATTCTTGCATCCATGTTTATTAGACAATTTGGCCTATCATTTTTTTTAATGGTTGAATCCTTGTCTGATTTGAGAATTCAGATACTGTAAGCATCTGAGAATGATTTGGAAATACTCTTTCCCTCTAAATTAAAAAAAAAAAGTTTGAAGAGTACTGGTGTCAGCTCCCTGAAGTTATTCTGGAATTTAGCTGTGAATATATCAGCTCTTTTGAATTTTCTTACTTGGTAGTTTTGGCTATTTGTTTTGAATTACTGCTCAATTTCACTGACTATTATTGGGTTTGTCAAGATTTTTAAGTCTTCTTGGTTCAGTTTTGGCAATTCATATGTCTAGAAATCTTCATTTCTTCTGAGTTCTCCAGTTGTTTGGCAAATATGTTTGTAAAGCAGATGCTAGTAACTTTCTAGATTTTAGCAGTTTCCTGCTATTGTGATTTCACCTTTTTCATTTCTAATTGCATTAATTTGTATCTTTTCTTTCCTTTTTAGGGTAAGTTTGGCTAAGGGTTTATCCAACTTATTTATTCTTTTGAAGAACCAGATCTTTAATTCAATTATTTGTATTGTCTTTATTGTCTCTCTCTCATTAGTTTCTGTTCTGATCTTTGTAATTTTCTTCCTTGCACTAATTCTGGGATTGAACTGTTCTTGTTTCTCTAAAACCTTGAGATGCATCTTTAGCTTATTTTAGGGGCTACTCTATTGTCCTGGGTCCTTCTGCTGCCAGCACAGTACCTAACAAGTGAGCCCCTGGGTGCATGATAAAATGGTTCCTAGGTCCTCCTGGCACCAGCACAGAGCCAGCTGGGTGGCAGCAGTGAGTGGGGTGAGGAACATGGCTCACAGGTGAGGGTAAGGCCCACACTTTTGAGATTTTCCTGGGTCCAACATAGGGCTTTGGCAGGTGGCCTCAGAGCCTGGGTGCGGTTGTGGTGACATGTTTCTCCCACATTCTCCTGACACCAGCAC